AATAAATATAAGAAGAACTACTAGTAAAGGAAAGCTCCGTAGCTTATTTATTGGCTGGGCGGAGCAGAGCCGCAAAACTCTCCGCCGACGGAACGTCCCAATTCTATCCTACCAACACTGTTTCTTTCACCCTTTGCGCCAGACGGAGGATTATTGGTCTTACCAAATTTCTGTCGAGATCGAAGGATTCGAACTTATCTGCACCTCCTTTTATCGTCTTTCTCGCAACAACCCCTCCAATCCTACTCGCAATGGGCAAATTGACCTCCACGATCGGTATCCCGATCAAGCTTCTTAACGAAGCCCAGGTATGTCTTCTGAGCTTCATTAACGCGCCATCGTCTTACTTGCATCTCGTCTTAAACACTGGAGCTAACGCACGGCGGTACAGGGCCACGTCGTCACCCTGGAAATCACCTCCGGAGTCGTGTATCGAGGAAAACTTCTCGAGGGTTCGTCGCTCAACCATCGTATCAGGGCAAAGTAGACTGACTAGGAATAGCCGAGGATAACATGAACGTTCAACTGAAGGACATCACGGTTACTGCTCGGGATGGTCGCGTGTCGCATTTGGATCAGGTTTATATTCGCGGAAGCCATGTGAGGTTCTTCATTGTTCCGGATATGTTGCGGTATGCTCTCCCATCTCTTGCTGTTTCAATGTTTATTCCTTCTCTCCCTATCTCTCTCTCTCTCTCTCTTATTCATCTCTCATCTCCCGATTTCAAAAAATATATAAATTCTAACAAAACCATCGAACAGGAACGCCCCCATGTTCCGCTCAAGAGGCCAGCGCGGCCGCGGTGTCGGTCTCGCTCGTGGTAAGGCCACCGTGCAGCGTGCCCGGGGCCAACGGAGGGGTTAGAAAAAAAAAGCGGGAAATATTCATATCTCATATTAATGGCGTTTGATTTTTGCTTTTTTTTTTCTTTTGTTCCTTTCATGTTGCCGTTCTAACATTTTACATTGGGGCTTTTCCTGAAAAATCCATTCTTGGTACTACATGGGATTCTTATACCCGCGCGTGTTGTGGGATATTTCTCGTTTTTCTTTTTTTTTTTTTTTTTAACGCTATTTTTTGAGTCGTGGGTTGCTACTGGTGGGTTTTGTAGATTGAGGAAATGGTGATAAGATAAATTTATTGATATGGGGGGATGGCTACAGTGGAAGACAAGACTCGAGGTTGATCTCGAGCTACGCTTAGGATTTGAATTTATATTCTATACCGAGTAAAAGGCAATAGCGTAATCAATCAACTCCTATCTCCCCATAAAGTACTTTATAAAGAATACCAAACTATATAAAACAAGAACATACCAACCAAATCAAAAAAGCAACCGCAGCTCCGCAAAATCCATTAAACCCTCCCCGCTCATCTCCAACTCAACCAACACCAATACAACCTACAACACAACCAGACTACCTCACTTATACAACACACCAACAGCCCCAAAATAAAGAACAACCAGAACAACGACGAACAATGCCCCAACCAGAACGCCCAAAACCCGAACCAACAACCATCCCCAACCCCCGCCGTCTCCTCATCCTAACCCCCTCGCAACACTCCCTCACCACAATCCCCCCATTTCTACACTCCCTCACCGGTTCCCCTGTCCTCAATCCCCCGACTTCTACCTCCACCCTCGACCAAAAACTCCCAGATACAGATTCTAAGGACGATACCACGACGACAACTACATTCGCAGGCTACACCACGCATCCCCCGCTCAGACTCGAGAATAGGTATTATAAAGCCGAGGTGCCGATTTGGGTGGATGAGATTCCATTGGAGGTAGAGTTGGGGAGTTCTTCTGGATCTGGGAGTGGGGATACAAATACGAGCACACGTAATGGGCAACCGGGATTAAACCCCGAGGATAAAGACAAAGAAGGACAACAAGAACCCCTCACACCAAGAACTTGGCGGAAAGAATTCTCAGGCCCAGAAGCGAAGGTCGTTAGAGATGCTGTCGGGGGAGTGGTTATTTGCTTGCGCAATTTGGATCCCCGGTCTCCGTCTACATCTACTACCTCTACCGCTACATCTACAGAACAAGATGTGGAAGAAACACCAGAGTGGAAAGGTCTAAAGACGTTCCTGGAAGCTGTCGGTTCCGTTAAGGGTGTTATGGATGAGGAGAGGGGCGGGCTGGGTGACGTTCTTGGGTTGGTTGTTTTGGTTGGTAGGGAGAGGGAGTCTGGTGTTGGTACTGGTGCTGGGAGTGGGGACCCGGGTGAAGTTGATGGCTTGGGGGAGGAGGAAGAGGTGTTTTCTGTCCCCTGGTGGGAGGATAAATTGTTTGATCTTGGGTTGGTGGGGTTTGAGGTTGTTAATTGGGATCCTAGGGAGGCTGGGAATGGGGAGGAGAGGAATCGGTTTGGGGGTATGTTTCCTTCCCTTTTCTTCTCTTACTTTGGTTGGTTGGTTGGAAGGTTCTGGGTTTGGGTGTCTTGTGTTGTGTTAGTCTAGATATATTCGCATATATGCTGACGCAGAACAGAGTATCAAGGTATGCGAAGGGTGAAGGAGATTCTAGAAACGCATGATTGGGCTTCGGCGCCTTCTGGGGAGTCGGATGGTGTGGACGACGTTGAGGATGAGCTGGAGAGGCATTTACTTGAAGATGGGTTCGACTTGGAGGTGAACGAGTTGGAGCGGGAGATGGTTGGGTTGCGGTTTGCGATGGAGAATGGAGATGACGATTTAGGTGGGATTGACGGCGACGATGAGATGAAGGTTGAGTCGATGGAGGCGTTGATGCTGAGGATGAAAGCTATTAAAGGTATGTCCCCTTTTTCTCCCTTGGTTTTGTTTGGTGCTTATGCGGGTCGTATAGATATGAGTGATGAGTTACCGGAGAGCGAGCGGAAACGATTTGCGGCAAAAGCTGTGCGAGACATCATGAAGGAGTTATAGTACACCTAGTTTAAGGTTCTACTTGTTACGCGTTATGAAATAACGAGTACATAGCCATCAGTATATCATTGCCAATGCGTCTTGTTGTAGCGAAATTACGTTTTCTACACCAAACCCATCCATTTTGTCATATCAACACCGATATCTCACAGCTGCAGTCATCCAGCGTTGACTCTACTCTGCCCTCTTCTTGAGCACCTTCTTCCTCTGGGCAATCATATGCGTATAAAGAATGTAAGAACCTGACGGGTAATTAGCACAGGAAATATGTCTGGGGAAGCTGAATGTAAACATACCAGGCACATAGATACCAAGAACGACAAGCAAAAACCACCGGTACAGAGGGTTAAACTCGGCAGCCGGCTCCAGCGCCTTGACGACCATGACGCACTCACTGGTGATACCAAGAGGATAAAGCACATAGAAGGTGTTGTATCTAAACCTCAACCGTCAGCAAAGATTCTTTCAAAACAAGACCCATAAATTAAGGGCAAACAATACCTCAACCAAGTCAACCACCCGGGCACACCGGCGCCCAAAACCTGCAAGGCAAAGAATCCATACCGAATACACTCGGTCACACCCCAGGCGCTCAAGCAACCCAGGAATGCATAATCGCCCACCTTAACCGCCTCCGTGGGAGCTCCCACAATGCCCGCGCCGTCGCCTTGTTCATGGAAGAGGAACATCACACCCCAGATGAGAAGCAGTCGGCTCGCGACCTGCATTGCGGTCGTGGTGACAGGGGCGCGCACGATGCCAAGCAAGCTGTGGAAGATCTCCAGGACGGCCAGAGTTTGGGTTGTTGCCAGGAGAGGCCAGAAGATGTCGTTGAAGATGACGGGAATGTCCTCAGGGGAGTTGGTTGCGAGGAGGTAGAAGCCGCGGAGGGTGCAGGTTGCCCAGAGTGTTAAGCTGGCAGCGTTGTAGCCTATGAGGTACAGCTTTGTGAGGCCTTTGGGGCCCCGGGAGGAAGCGGATTTGGAAGACATTTTTGGGTCTTTCTTTCTTGTGCTGCTGTTGCTCTTGTTTTTTCGAGTTGGGTTTGGATGGAAGGTTTGTCTGGACGTGCTGCTGCTGGCGGTGGATTGTCCCGTATACTATATGACACGATTGAGTTATAGTAATTGAGTTGGCAGCAGTAAGAGCTGAGAGTGCCCCAAGTGATACGGTGAAGCAATTGATACCGAGCTGGTCAACAGCTGGACAAGGGGAAGTGGTTGAAAATGAGATGCGGATATGGCTTATGTAATGCACGTTGAGATGCCGAGGCTGCAAACAGTTATCAACATATTGAAAACTGTTGGGATTTTGCTCATGTCAATCATGTGTATGCTTAAATAGCAGGACAATAACAGGAGTTCAGTTCAAGTGAATCAGCATGGGTTAGGAACGTATCCCAAAATTGGTGTATAATTCTATCGCATGTTCTCAAGTAGTGTACATTTGAGGTGGAGGTAAAGCCATCCATCGCAACGAATCACTTATCTTATCAAGAAACCTAGACGTTTCATCTCCGTAGCCGATAGCGCATGTGGCTGCTTAAACGCCGTCTAAGCTTGCGGATGGCGGAGGTTTATCTCCCCATGACATTGGACTAATGGTAGGATAGTGAGAGAGAAATAGTTGTAGTGGGTACTATCTCTTATCTCGTAAGGCTGCCAAATCAGATACTCTTGCATCACGTGTGTTGACCACGTTCGCTGAAATCAGCTTACAGATGAGACAACGACGAAAAAGGAATAGGGCAAGGGGGAAAAGAAAAGAGAACATATAACAATGTGCTAGTAGTCAGGATACATGATGATCCTGTCTAGAGCAGTTCGCGTTGATAGTACGATGCTGCACCAAAGCACCCCGACCTTGCGATGTTCACTGCGAAGATGTGTGGGTAAATCAATTCAGAGGGTATGAAGCACGCAAGCTGATGTCATAAGATGTGCTGCTGCATATTGATCACACGCAACAACGGTGCTGGCACCTGAGTGGAAACAAACCTACCCGATACCAGCGGAATTGTCTCGTATCAACCCTTGGGAACTGTTAAAAAGGCCTAAATTTCAGGCCGGCGATGAACACGATTGAATGTATTTACCCCTGGTCGTTGATGACCCACCTCTTCGTTCGAGAAGCGTACCAGTAGACAGATTTCCTGATCAGGTGGTGATAGTCGGGAAAGCTCAGCGAGAATCAGCCGAACGAAAACCATCGGAATTGTTAGGTTATCGTCGTCTTTCCTCTGCGTCCAAAACTACTACGCTTCTTCGTACCTTCACCTATGAGAGGAGGGTAGTAGGTCGAAAGGCTCCGGAGATTGACAAACAACCTGAATTCGCTTACACGATGACTTAGTACAGAATATTAAGGATAGTTGGTATAGTCCTCGTAGTACGGAGTACGGAGTACAAGTACTCGGTAACCCCCCTGTACCGCACCGAAGTGTCTGGAAGGCGGCCCAAGCTTTAGACATCTTGGCAGAGCCCCGCCAACGTCAGCGGCGGCCACGGATTGGCGGTATTGTAGCCCCACTCTGATGTCATCTTTTAAGTGCAATTCTCTGATAGGCAGACTGGGGGACTAGACCCAATAGACCTCCTCGGGTTCATGGATATACGCTCATAGTCCCCACGGACTTGGATTTTGTATAAGACTCGAGCGGAAACCCAAATGGTTAGAAAAAAATATTTCTTCCACCAAACCAGAATTCAAGGAGAGAAGAGGCTAGGATTGTGACTGATATTCTGGTCACAACAAAAAGGATCATCACCCTTCTGCATCATATCATAATCCATTCTAATCGGATTCTCCTCTATCGTCTTAGCTCATGACACCCCGCAGTATGACACATTGCGACTGAAGGGTTACCTCATTCCTTTTTTTACCCCCCGAATCAAACGTACCAGGAGCACGGTACATTCCTTTCTGTCCAAGCTAAAATTGGATGGTCCCTAAGGGCCCAGAACCTCTCATACAGAAAGAGTTAAGACGTCAACCGGGTTGGGAAAAAAAATGTTTGACGCGACTTTTTCTGGTGGCTGGTCTGCGCTATTTAGTCTAAGCGATGATCGTGATCTGAATAAGATTCTGAGAATTGGCAGTATTTTGCGATGACGGAATGAAATATATGTCCTTTCTTTTTTTTTTTTTTTTTTTTTCTTCTTCTTCCTTCTTTTTCCGCTCGCACTCTTTTCGTCACGCTCACTTTCGGAGATGGAGCCCAACGATAGATATCATCCAGAAAGAAGTAACTTCCCACGTGCACCACCAATCTTGTAACAGCTTTGGTTCGTCGGGTCTGGAAATGATGTAAAAGGGGTTTATTAGTCAGACGGGCAGTAGGAGTTGACCATGGGATCGACATTTTACGTTTAGTTGATAGGATTTCCCACCACTACGTCAGTTGTGGTCCTATGATTTCAGCGTGCATTTGGTGAAAAGAGTGGAGATGCTGGTGTCTTTCCCAATAGGGAAGAGGGATTCGACCGCATTCCCCAAAGAGACACACACTTGCGCGCATGCGCCCAAATAACCTCCTCCCACAACTCGGTGATCTGATCACTCATGTGGAATTGGGCATGACCGTGATCCGTTTGATAGGGTTATACAGGTCACAAACATCGCCGAGGGAATATACTGGGTGGATTGAGGCTGGAAAAAAAAAATGCTGAACTTGCGTGTCTGACTTTTTTGAAATTCCCCACACACTAAAACCAATCAGTCCATTCGGACCGAGTGGGATGTTTGACCTGGCAATGGACATTAACCCAGAAGAAGGGTAAAAGGAGAGAGATAGATACGGAGTAGAGAGAGAAGAAAATCGGACCGGTCGATAGATAACGTCTGCCACAGGCGAACATCCCTCATTGCTTCGGGTTGTAAGAAGAAGAATGGCGATGATGGCGAATTCCCAAATACTAAACTCGACCAAGAAAGAAAGAAAGAATGACGCCAGTGCCAGACGAATTTATATCCCACCATTAAATCTGCCGTTTAGTCAAGTTCCAGCCAATTTAACTAACTAATAATAAACCATAGGGGAAGATGGTTTTCGTCCTTCACTTTTCTCTCATTCTCTTCCTCATTTTCGTTCTCTACTAGTAGAGTCCCGCCCTTCTTTCCCCTCTATGATTGATCACCATTAATTTCTATCGATATTCTTTCCCCACCAACCGCCGCTCTGCGCGCTTCCCAAACCAAAGGGCCCCATCGCTGCATCTCGGTGGCTATCATTGCTCAACATCCCGACTACTGTAATCCACTTGACCGGTGTCCAATGAAGTTGACCGCCTCTTGTTCGGACTGGTATCTGTCATTGTGATCATATCATTGAGGGTTTCTGTGAATCCTCTAATTCACCCCTCACCCTCTCGGTTCGTCCCATAAGGTTAGCCGATCTATTTGAATCCTTACATTCTTCTTATCCTGAACCTTGAGGTGTTACTTTGCTTGGTCGGGTAATTTCCTAAATATTTTCTTCCCTATCCACATTGAAAGTGTCGCCATTGGAGGGAACCACTATTTCTGTTCCCTTTCAATGACAAGAGGTCAGTCAAATATTGATCTCTATCGGTCTTACGAACCGTGACCTTTTTTAACCCACACCCACTTTTGGTTCCCCTCCTTACCTTTTCCTTCCCCTCCACTTTTTTTTGGTTCCTTTTTTATTATTATTATTTTTTTTTCCCCTTTTACCAACAGCACAACCAAAAAGAGAAAAGGAAAGGAAGAAAAAATAAAAATAAAAATAAAAAAAAAAAATTCCTTAGCAGGAGGCTCCTTCACACAATCACAATCATCTGTCTTTGTTATAATTTTTCAACCCTCTTCTTTCCTCCACTCATCTAACCATCCTCCAATTTGTTCTTGTCTACCGTTTTGCTGGGCTAATTTCAGCCACATCTTTTCGCAACACAGTTTGATAATTAATACCCGTATATTTTCCGGTGTCAGCCTTGTTTCCTTTTTGTCTTTGATTTAATTCTTACTTGCATTATACCCAACGCCGTTCCATTGCAGTGTTCCAGGTAGGAAGATCCCCTTTTTTAGTTCTGCTGATGACTACTACCCCTCCTTGTCCCTCCTGATCCAGACAACTGTTCCTCTACTCATGTTCCATGTGGACCCCTTCCTTCATCCACTTCCGCGCTGTGGCTGATTGATATTGACTCGGCTTTCTCCCACATTGTTGTTCTTTTTTTTCCCTCCCATTTGAATCTCTCTATCCCTTTTGTCTGACCCCAACCTGCTTTTCTTGCTTGCAAAGTACGTTGGCACAGACCTAGAACCTTTGATCTTATCCTTTTCGTCTTAGTACTTCATCCCACCACCCTCCCAATCAACTCCCCTATCCTTCTACCCCCCCTCCCGCCCTCTGGAGATTTGCCCTTTTCAGAAACACAAACCACCAGTCATACCCAGAGGTGAATCATCTCAAATGTTGTTCAACCCCTCTTCTCTTGTTACCTCTGTAAACCAGTGGTCCCTGTGACGTTCCTCCTCCCTTTGCTTCCCCCCACGTAATGTCCCTATTGCGTAGGGCACTATCAGTCATGGAGTCCAGTTGCCATAACACTACCATTGGTTTCGTGGATTGTCAACTGACACCGACTTGGACAAACAGATCGCTCTGTGTAATTTCAGTACTCGTGTGCTTGTTAAATTCTGGATCCGGACTTATTAACCGGGTAACTTGACGCCATCAGCACCGGTGTTAGACAGATCCGCCAGAAACTAGCTGTTCGGGTTGCAAAGATCAGACGAAGCGTGTGGAACAACAGAATTTAACCTTAGTATATCCAACATGGCGCCCACTACCACCTCCAAAACTCAGACTGTGCAGACACCCGTACGTGCCGTACCGTTCGCTTTAGGACCGTTGGATAATAGTGCTGACCACGAGTAGCCCAAGACCGAGGGTCCTCCTAAGCTTTCAGACATGACAGACATCATCGACCAGAACACATTTGAACAGATCCTGGAGATGGACGACGAGGACGACGATAGGGACTTCAGCAAAGGAATTGTCTTTGGCTTCTTTGACCAAGCTGAACAGACCTTTGAAAAGATGGAAAAGGCTCTGTAAGTGCCCCGAATTAGCAGTCGATGTAATCCAGGACTAACCAAAACTGCTCTTGCAGAGAGGAGAAGGATCTCAGCGATCTGTCTTCACTGGGACATTTCTTGAAAGGCTCATCAGCTACTCTAGGTCTGACTAAGGTCAAGGATGCATGTGAGAAGATCCAGAACCTCGGTGGCGGGAAGGATGAGACGGGTACCAACAACGAATCGAAAGGGGACGCTCTGGGCAAGATTGAGAAAACCCTGTCGCAGTGCAAGGCGGACTACAAAGAAGTAGAGAAATTCCTCCGCAGATTTTACGGCGAAGAAGGCGACAATGACAAGAACGACGATAAATAGTCCTCCGAAAGAAAGGTGGAAAGAAGTTGAAAGCGTGAGGATGATGGTTGACTGGAATATACCACGTGAGGTGACACACCTTTTTTTACATCAAAACTGCATTCGGCACCATAACGGAAAGAGAAAACAACGCAATTATTTATTTCCAGAAGCGCGTCTGACCATACCCTCGGGTTGTTTTCGTCCAATGCTTGTTCTCCTTAATCCCGTATGAATCAAGGATACTATGACGACACATGAGGTAGATTATGTGTTTTCTTATTTTCTTTGCCCGGCCTTCTCCGAGTTTCTGTTATTTCCAGCTCTTTATCTAGTCTAGAGGTTTGTTCATAAAATAGGGGAGATTTCTGTTACCCTTTTGTCCAACCTTTTTTTTTATCGAGCACATAGGGACAGGGCCATCGCTTCGAGTCCCGCGGAGACAATATTCCTTGACACCACATGTGGATGGTAGACTCTTTTTTTTTTTTTTCCTTCTTTCTTTCTTCTGTGTAAGTGGGCGTGTATCAGGTGTGTGACCGATACCCAGCACAAGGCCGGCTGCAGATGGCATGCCCGACATGCTTACGGGGGCAAGACATCCATCCCCCTTGTGTGGGCAGAGGTACGAGGAGTCGGCAGTTTTTTTTTTTTTTTTTTTTTTTTTCTTCTTTTTGATGGGCACCAATAGTGATACCATACCTCCCATTAATTTATGATCCGACGGCCATTCCATCCCGAATGAGGTCTGACTTTTCTGGCAGCATCATCAACCCCATGTCGGGTGCCATCGAACCAGCCGCGCAAACGCCATTGTCTTGCCAGGAGAACGCATTTACCCTATTGAGGAGGAGTCAATAGACTTTCATGTCTTAATCTACTCCGTTTGTCTTGTACTTCCATCTACAAAACAGGTATCAATGTCCTGCGAGACGCTCGGTCCGTTGCAATTTCCGGGTAAACTATCGCGGAGTGTCTTCCTGAGTTTGTAGTCGCATATAGTTTGCCGAGATAATCGTCGTGGACTGAATATATTCTATATATAAGGTGTCGGATTCACACTCTAATCCCGGTGTCTTCTTGCTCAATACTTATAGAATCGCGTAATATCACACAGCCCTCCTACCCTATCATAGCCACTGCACGATACGTGCAACAGGGTAAGTGAGGAATGATATCCAGTGCAGGGGTGGGACCGGGACTCACTTCGCATACATGATTAGTGAATTGGATGATCTTTTGTTCCTTTTGACCATTTTCTCTGTTTGTAAACCAAGACAATTCACCTTCCAACACTCCTCCACGACCGCCTAGAAGGTACCTAAAACCAAACCAGCAATCCAGTTCATTACCCATTACCCGTTACCTGTTCCTTTTCCTTTTCCCCTACACCCGTCCAACGTTCGAGTAAACCTTCCATCTCCAAACCAGTGTAACATCCCATAATCCAAGCACCGTACCACACGCTCCCAGATTCCAAATATCTTGTATAAACAGAACCCCCCGGAATGTCACATCAAACACGGCGAATGCCCCTGAAGACCTTGACTCCAGATCTCCTCCGATGGGAACACCGAGACTCCGGACGACAACTGTGGTGTAGATCCATGTGTGAATACTATTTTGTTTGTTCGTCTGTGCGACTTGGATGGTAGGTATGGATTTTTTTGGCACTGAGGCGGGTGGGGTATACAGAAGTAACTTTTTGTACCTCGTTGTCTTCATGGGGTACTAGTTGAGGATTGTCTGTGCGGAAGAAATTTTTTGGGCTGGTTACACGGCTGCGGGAGGTTATTGGGTTTCTTATTCGCTTTTTTCTTTTGTTGGTTTTTGGGGCTGTTAGTAGTGGGACATATGTATATATATATGTGGATATGGATACAGTATACAACATTATGTCAACAATAGAGAGAGAGAGAACACTGTAATGTAAAGGAACGAAGAAAGGGAAGAAAGAAAGAAATACCCCACATATGCACTACATACAATCAAACAAGCCCCGTTTGACACTCCCTTTGACTCCAAAGTAGTAAAACTAGACCAGGAACCTACATTCCGTTTGATGTCATCTGCGTTTCACCCCAGACAAGGATTATCATGAGTTTCCACAACCAGGGGTAATTCAATAACTAACTAACTAACTTACCTCTTCTCTTGTAACCCGGACATAAATTATACATGTGAACCTCGCTTGACTCGTCGAGGGTCGAGGCTTGTACATACTTGTTCGAGAATCGAGCTCCGTCACTACCTGTAACTATCCTATACTAGACTACACTAGGCATATGTGTACATGACACAACCTGAAGTTATGTATGCATGTATGTAGTTAACCACTCTCCATGCATGTCATATTAGGCCATGAGAGGTACTAGTACTGTCTGTATCTCGACAACTGTTGAACATACTTATTTCGTACATGGTAGGTTATTTATGTATGTATGTATGTACAGAATAAACCGGGTACTTACATCCGTAGCTAGACTAGTCAAGTCTAGTCTAGTCTGTCTGGCAACGTTCAATTCAATATTCTACCTACTAGGCTACCGGTCCATCATCCTCAATTCAATTCCCTATACAAGTACCCAACTGTCACAAATGAACAACAAAATTCCCTACACTAAAAAATAACTTAACCTAAACTCACAACCCCCTACTTCCATTCTTACCCACAAAACCCAACATACAAGGACATTCATACAAATTAACCCAAAACCAAACCAAACCGAACACCCCTGTCCCAAATACCCGATCCGTCCCGAGGACTCAAGTACTAAATTCAGTCAGTCCAGGCTAGGTAGTAATTGTACATACTCTCGCAGGATTCAAACCAGACACACACACACACACACACACACACACACACACACACACACACATATATATACACATGCACATGCACATACAAGCTATAAAATACAAAATACACATACCATACACGGTCCATACCATACCATGCATACTTATGTAGAAAAGTCAGGTCGAGGGTAGGAGGTTGTTGTGCGACGTAGAACTGGGATTTCGACATGTCTGATTTATTATTAATTTCTTTGCATTTTTGCATTTTTTTTCGGCCCGGTCTTGGGTAAAGGTACAGTACCTAACCTAGTGTATGTAGCGTTGGTAGGTATGTAGTAGGTGCTGACTAGGGTGGATGTATGGGATGCATGGAGGGTATGTACAGAGGTACATACGTACATACGTACGTACTTTGTGTTCTTGGGGTTCCGAGGGTTTAAGAAGGGAGTGGGTCTGGGTTTTGGAAGGGGGGGTTTGTCTTCTGTGAATGTTGGTTTATCTTGTTTTTGTTCTTGTTTTTGGCCGTTGGTCTGGGTTGTGAGTTTATCAATTGATTGTTTCGTTGACCTGTGCATGCTTGGTTGGGTTTGATTATACTGTGAATGGTGGTTGGCTTTGGTCTACGTCTACTACTGGGATAAGTGAATTTGGTATCCATGGCTCCTGTTGGACCTCGTGCTTCGAAAGAGGAGTTCATGCAGGCTCTTGCCTTGGATTCGCAGGATCCGCAGCATGAGCAGATTTACAGGGCTATGAGGGTATGTTTCGTCTATGTCATGTCATATTTATATCTACATCTATCGAATGCTGTATTGTACAATGGATGGTTGACAGGAACAGGATGAAGCGATCATCGTCTACAATCGCCTCAACGAAGATACCTCGCACCTCCTCGACAGCGTAGCGAATGACCCGTCTACTAGGCCGCCCTTCTTCTGGCATCATATCCGTCCCGAGCGTCAACGGTGGGGCATCATCGAAATCGCGCAGAATGCTGGGCCCTTGACCCGTCCTTTCTTCTCTCGCGGCGCCACGGCCGGTGAGTACGGTCCGAATTGGGTGGCGGGGTGGTTGCTGTATAGTGTGTTTCGGTCGAGGGATGTTCGAAATAATCGCAATCGGCGAAAGGGGGACGATCATGGTGTGTAAGACTGGTGTCTGGATATTGTGCTTGGCATGCTAACGGTTCGGAGGTCAAGGCTTCAAGGCGAAGAAACAGGAAGAAGATGCGCCGCCGACGAAGTACTATGATCCGGTGCGAAATGGGTAGACAAGGAGCACGGAGGATATGGCAGTTCTGATGTGCATGTAACACAATCCTTAATCATCGTCCTCGTTTTCTTTCGTTCGATTCGATCCGTTCTTTTGCGTTCTCTCCTTTCTTAAAGCTTCCGTCACGCGTTCATCTCGCTCGTCCTTCTTTTCATCCCACACAACGTCATATTCTGCTGCAATAGTTTTGATTTCTCTTCGTAATAAATTCCCTTCATCGATCAGCGACTCCCACTCATGGAGGTCTACCCCCTTCCTCTCATACAACTTCTTCTGTCGCGCGTTAATCGTAAAGTCGAGCGCTGACTTATATGATATTTCCCGGTTGTGATAGAGGAACCACAAGTAGCCCCCCATCAGAGTTGACAAACTGGCCAGATACGTCACCGGTTCCATCGTGTCCCAGCCCAGGTCCGTCTCAAACGTCAATTTGTACACGAGGTACCACCACATGGCGAGAATACCGAACCCTCCCACGGCCACGCGCTGCGCTCCCCGGTGTGCCAAGGCATCACACTCGTGCTTGATCTCCGCGATGCTCTGAATCCTTCCGGAGATCTTCCGCAGCCGCATTCTTAGGAAGTGTGTTCGCTGATCGAACGAAGGAACAGCTACGTGGATCTGGCGCAGACCAGCTGGACCCCCTTCGATACTAACGATGAATTCCCGAGCCCGGGAGGCATCACGGACAAAGTCGCCGATCTCGGTGGACTGAGACCAGCGGACAAAGCGTTCCTCCCTGTTGCTCTTGCCGGGTTCCCCACGTCGAAGATAGCTGTATGTGTCGTCCTCCTCGTCCGGTCGACGTCTCCGTTGCTTAGCTTCATGTCCTGCCCCAATTTCCCCCAGGCGGTGTACCTCAGTGTCGGTCGTCTCATACATCGATTTATTAGGCTTGACAGGGTTATCGTCCATCTGAAGTGCAATAAAAGAGACAGCAGGCGGCCTTGGCTTCGTACCATTGATTGAAACCGGGGGAATCTCATCCTGAATGAGGCGTTCGAGGTAGGATAACGGCTGCTGGGGATGTATCAGGATAGCTATCGGCTCAATGTCTTCACAAAAGTTAACTTCCTGTCTCCTCAACCTTGGAAAGGACATCATACCATCATGTTTACTATTATGACTCGCAGTAGGTAACGGAATAAGAACTTTGAAGAGTCTCGACGGCGTCGTCAATAATTTCCCTACAACCCGGACTAATTAGTGCCCCGAAATGAATACATCGAGAGGAAGCGCACTCACCTTTCGACATTGCATTCGCAAGCTTCGACTGCGAGTCTTGCTCCCCATCTTCACTCTCAGCACTCCGCTGCCGGTCCTTCTCCCTGATCTCAAGCCTCTCCAGCTCATCCCTCGTCTCCTTCGTGTCCTCCTGGATAGGATCCCAATGCGCAAATCGCCGCGCCTGCAGAAGCACAGGGAAACCACACCCCAAAGCCCTCCGACTTTGTCTCCCAGCCAAAACAGCACAAGCAACGCGCGACTGACCCGCCACCGGCGAATTGGTATACAACCTCGACCCGGGCACGCCAATGGGCCGTCTCGCCATCGCCCCAAAGGCTGACACCCGACGCACAGCCGCCCTCATATTCGACAGACGGCCGTGTCCTCAAGAACCTAAAAGTCGAGACCAAAAAACCATACAGATAAAGAAAAATAACCCCTTAAACACTAGCAATTATAATAGTATAGTAAAGGCACCTAACCCGAAACCAAGAAGCGAGATTAAAGGTAAGAGAAAAAAGACCCCCCCAAAAAACCAGGGATTGTTTATATCATAGCATAGCACCGCCTCCTTCAAGCTTCCCCACAATTAACCATTAATTTTAAAGCTCCATGGCATCATCGCATCATAGGTTGACTTGCTTTCTTTTGGGGAAAACGGGATTGTATACGTCATGGTGAGTCAGCAGGTTAAGCATTGCAAGGGGGAGGGGCTTTGCCGTTTCGGGGTTAGCGGGATATACGTTATGCTGGAGTGTTGATTCGATTTCTATTTATGGGCAGAATGCGATGTATGTGTTTCAGGGATATTAAGGTTGTCGGCACTGTGTAGGCATGGTGACGATGGTGGTTTTGTCGTTGCTTGGGGTTTGGTGAGGCTATGGGGGGTTTATGTATGTGTGTCTGGGGTTGCGGTGAGGGGGGGCAATTGTGTACTTGTTTTCTCTGCATGATGGCGATATGTGAAGATCTAGGGGTATTTTCTGGTTTGTAATTCTTATTAGACTACTTATTCTCAGGTTTTCTACTATTGTTAGTGGTTGTTGGTGTTTATAGTTGTAGGAATACATATCGGTTCTACATTTGTGTATGCGATTCATTTGCAGAGTTTGAGCCATTTTGGATACCCACAAGGCCTTGTACTAATGACCCTTCCTGGATAGACCGTATCCAAGTCCATACATATTCCATAAGATGAGGAAACGCTCGGTATTGAATACAACTCGGACCCTTGGCTTTTTTGGATTCCCCGAGTGAGGTAGAGTCGCGATGATGGGGACACAGTTTCTCGGTGTTAGGCGAGTATTGTTCTTAGAGTATACCAACTAATATCGTTTGATAGTGGTGGTAATCTGTATGTTCATTTTTTATACTTGTCAGTCAGAAGTGTTAATGCTGGTCCTGAAAGAGACATTGTATATAGAACTACCAAGACAAACCAACGAATACACTGTAGGACAATAGGCTTCTACTTTTACGTTACTCGGTTTGCGCGATGCAGAGCATGGTTGCAAAATGACAATGATATAGGTGGTTAATAAAGGGAGAATTAAAACCCCAGGTCTAGATTCAAGTCTTTGTCGTACAGACACTTTATAGTAGTAGTGGTGGTTGTTGTATCTGAATTTGGGCGCACAGGTACACTCATCACAAGGAAATGGATGACTGGATTCATTCTCATATAGAACTAACTGGTGAAAAAGGGTCACCCCACCATTTGCACAAGTCAAAGAACGCTGGACAGTCAATACAGTAATGCACACTCAATCTTATATCCACACTCAGGAATTTTGTAAGCCTGGTAGCACACTAGGGTATATCTGCCAATGGGCTGATTTTCGACTAAGGTCACACACGCTTCAATTGAGAACAAGCACTTCGATCTATCTGGATATTCAAGTCATGTCATAAGTCATAAAGTCGTTAGAGTCTTCCACGTATTTCTTTTGCTTTGCACGCCGAGTTCCGCTTGATCACAATATTCTGAGGACAGCAGGGACGACTACATTCCACGACTGCTAAATGCGAGGGCCCTCGATGGCACAACGGGTCTTTCCTGACTGAATCGTCCTCCCTCGTAGCTTTCGGGACTGCTCCCTCCGCTTCTGCTTCCTCCACTGGTCGAGGTATCGGTATCATCATAGCGGGTCTTTCGGCCAGTACCTATCGCCACAGGCATTCCCTGGACAACGCCTCCGTGGTCATGTCCAGCAGGATACATGCCATCGTTGACGGAAAAATTCCGACAAATGAGGTATGCTCGCATTGCGGCGTTCTCTCGAGCCAGGGTTTCGTTTTGGTAAACAGTGTCCGTCTGGTATTCCCGATTATTGACGCGAACAATGCAGGTATACCCGGTAGGGCCTTCATAGGCCTCAAACTGGGGCTCCGGCCAGCGGCGGCGTCGGCAGAGACCTATACGCATGGTTATTGAACTTCGAACTTGACTTTAGTCAGGCCCACGACATTCGGAAGCCACCATGGCAATTTGCTGAGATGTTAACAAATCACATAGCGTGCAACCAAGTAAATCTCTGATCGATGCACGGGATGGTCGTTCCCCCCGAGGATTTTCTAGGGAGACAAAGAAAAAAAGAAAATTCAAGGGGAAAAGGTTCAAAAACCGCGATTGCCGCGATCGAACCAACCCGGGGAAAGGGATTTTGAAATAGGGGGTGTAGAGTTGGGCATATTGCAACAGAGAGGCTACATACTCGCAAGGTATAAAACATAGTACATCGTGAAGACAGGCGGGTGTCCAATAGAACGTATGGTACAGAGGCGTATCGAATGAGTATTTGCTGCCCTGGATCTGTTGACACTGCACAAGATCCTGGCAACCACACCCAAATTATGGAAACAAGCCTATGCAAACGGCGCTTGTTGATGCCCAATGGCCACGTTCCTCATATGACACTTCAAGGGATTTGCTGTTTTAGAATAGCCAAGATCCCGTCACGAAAAGCGGATCAGTGGAGAGAGGCTTAGTATAGATTTGATCAATCTAGACAAAGACACGAAAAACGGTAAACAAATAGAACTAGCATATGATGGAAGACAGTAATATCCCACGCAATGGTAGAAAGCAAGAAGGGAAAAAGGAAAGAAGGGAAAGAAAGGCAGGCAAATATTATCATTCTAGCCAGGTATAATCAGTTCAAATAAACAGGCGGGGCTCATAAAGCAGTAGTCAATAACTTAGGGTCAACAGAGAGGCAAAACAAAAAGAAAGAGGGTCTAAGAAAGGGAAAAAAAAGAAAAGAAAAGAAAAAAACGAAAAAGAAAAAATCCCAACGGTCCTTTAACCGGGTCAATTGAGGCATTCTCCACCAGATTGGAGTACTGGCGCAGGTAACAGGGTGAATTCTATGAGCCATTGCGGATCTAAAATGTCCTAGCTTTGTTCTTTTCGAATCGTTTCTTTCTGGAGATCGAATACTGGAGAGCGTAGATTGAAACGTTGATGTGCTGGCATGGCTTTCCACCAGTGATCCAGTACTAGAAGACCCAAGACAACTCTGCTCCATATGCCACGGTGTAATTCGCCGCCGATCCAGGCGGCTAAGATTGACATGTTGCTCAGGATAAGAAATTCCGGTCAAATCGTCATTTCGGTCTACCATTATTCCTGCAGAACTACTGCCGTTGCTCTGGGCAAGGGTTATAATCAGAAAACTTTTTTTTGGTCCTTCTCATTTTCCTTTTTTTTTTTTTTTTTTTGTAACCCTCCGTCCCTCCTCTTCTTTACTAGTTCGGATGAGAAATTCTAGAACCCCGCATTATAGACGAAATCTAGAAATAATTCCCGTCGTTCCAGAATCAGCAAGCATAATATAAAAACAATATATTAATTGGAAAAGAGGCGGCGTTGTGGAAGGCCACTAATGCATACAATGATGAATCCCAACAAGAGAGGGGTTCATGTCGCGCAGA